GTTTTTTTGTTGTTAGAGTGGTCTATGGAGTCACTTGCACTACATATATCTACTTTTTAACAATCCGAAAGCAAATATTGAACATGTTATTTCTGTGCTTTTCATCTTCTCACCTAACTTGCTTTACTCTTCAGTTCTTTATTTTTATTTGATTTTCCCTCCCCTTACTATCTCCTTTCACTTTGGGGATATGACCATTTAATAAATTGAGTTGATGCATCATTGTGTTGTGTCTTTTACTTTGTCATAAATGTTCAAGAATGTCTCATTTTATTTTACTTTACTAGAGATGTGAAACCAGGGCTCTCTAAACATAGGCTTCATTTTAAAGGAATTATTTTGGCTTTTTTATATAAACTATCTTCCATAATGTCTTGTTTAGTATATATTTTCTTCTTCCTAAATGGAATCAGATTTTCAGTAGGTTGTTTAAATATTGATGGGGCATCTTTTTTATCAGGTTATTCTACTCATATTTCACTGTTCCCACAGGAGAGACCAGTCACGTCATCAATATTTTGACCGTTCATTTTTTAGGGGGTGGGAAAACAAGACAATTGATTTTCCACCTGAATTACTCTCAGTACCACTTTATTTATAATTTGACTTCTAAATCTAAATGCATGATTCACTTGATGTATACACGAATCTACTAGTAGGCGGATAGGCAAATCATTGTAATAATAGTAATAATAATAATAATAATAATAATAATAATAATAATAATAATAATAATAATAATAATAATAATGATTCAAGTGGTTATTCATCGTAAACTGATATCTGTTGGAGGAACAAAGGAAACTTGGGAGCACTGAACAGCTGTTTCGTCCTAGCATGGGACTCCTCAGCGGTGCTCACTCGCGACCTCGCCAGGGATCGAGCCCGCAACCTTCAGGTTCCGTGGCCAGCACGTTACCATTGAGCTAACCACTGGGTCACAATCCAATCGTCCATATTTCCAACTTCTGTTAGCTCACGATATAGCACAACCTGATGGTTGTGAGGACAGTTACTCAACGATGACATTGGGTGGCGGTTGCGCTATATCGTGAGCTGACAGAAGTTGGAAATATGGACGATTGGATTGTGACCCAGTGGCTAGCTCAATGGTAACGTGCTGGCCATGGAACCTGAAGGTCGCGGGTTCGATCCGAGGAGGGTGGGGTCGTGGGTGCGCACTACTGAGGAGTCCCATACAAGTGGACGAAACAGCTGTGGAGTGCTCCCAGGTTTCCTTTGTTCCTCCAACTGATGTCAGTCTACGATGAATAACAACTTGAAACATTTCCAAGTCTTCATAATTATCTTTGCAGTACATGATTTCCAGCATGTGATATCTCATCAGTTTACCCGTTGTACAGCACTTTTCAAATATATACTAGCAATGGTGTTGTTTAACAATACATAATAAGGTATAAAAATATTGTTGAGATGTTTAATAACTTCAGGGACATGACGATAACTGTTACAAAGTTGATTGATAAGACTATGTCTAATATGAATATTCTTCACGCAATACACAAGCCAAATAAGGTGGTGTGAAATTTTGTGTATAGTTGTGCGTGCATAGAATTTAATGCATTTGCTTCTTGCCTTCCCAGAGAACAGACATAGAGAGAGGTGCAGATGAAGAGGATGCTTTTCATCAGGTAAAATATTGTCAGTCAGTAGTCTAGAAGAGTTCGGATGCCTATCCACAACCGCATTTATCAGCATGGTTAGTAGTGTACCACTGGGTGCACTAACAGCGTGCTCCTTTTTCCTGAGTCCAGGAAAGAATAAGGAAGAACAATAAGTAAGTATTGGCAAAACACAGGAATTAATTAAACTTAGGAGTAGAGGCTTATTTATTTTTTACAGAGTCTGAGTTTCTTTATTTGAAAGGTCAAGCGAAAGATTTTTCTGTAAATCAGTAAGATATGAGGGGACAAAGAGATATCAGAAGAAAATCCTAAGTCAAGATGGATCGCGTTTGATACATTCTCTACAAAAGAGCGATGTATAAGACAAGAACCATGGGACTATAGCAATTTACATAGGTCTTTTTCCCATCTTCAGCTAAAATTAACATTTGGAAGGGATTTAATGTAAAGCCATTTAAGTGACACCAGTGTGACTTTTTTCAGATATGTAAAGCAAGTTAAGATTTCACTTGAAGAAGTGCTGAACCAGGATTCATGTTATCAAAGCTTGAATGAGATTGAGTTAGTTAACATAAACTGCTTTGATATTATGAATTCCAGTTTATTACTATTGGCGCCAAATAGTGAAATGTCAGTGAAAGCAACACTTCTGCTTTGGATTCATTGAAAAGTACAAATATTGAAATTAGAAACACTTTGAAGTCAACTTCTAAAGTATGAAATCAATCCATACTCATTACTGTTCTTAATTCTGTCTTGTCAAGAGTCTACCTGGATTTTAGTGATATAATACGGTAATGGATATAAACACTCACAATAAATTTAATGTAGAAGATTGTGATATTTTGAAGTGTCTTCGATGGACTGATGTATGTATAGAATTCTAGCTTCAGGAGGTAATATTTTCTGATAGGGTCTATTATGGTTTGGAATACTAGTCAAAGTAAGCAAGTCGGTTAATGAAGTTGTCAGCTTTAGTGGACTGAGGTGGCGTGGTCGGTGACCAGTCGATGAAGTCTCTCACTGTCGGTCTGAGTCGTGTTGGGAGATATAGACTCTCTGACTGGGGTTCCCGAGAAGATAGAAACTACTGGTTGAGGGCTCGTGGTGACATGACTGAAAATCGATCATGCTGTCGCAGATATATTCACTCATTGACATCTTCTGAAGCTTGAATATTCACACTAACCGTTATCCTCAAATTTTTTAATACTCTTACAGTCTTAGTCTACTTTGGTGGTATCACTCCTTTTCTATCCACTTGTTCTTTGTTTTCTACTTTGGAGTGTGGTAACTTGAGCTGATGCAGTTGTGTACGTGGTTCTACGTTGATTTCGTTACTCAGTCTGTCCTACCAGCTATAAGCTTGGTCTAGTCAAAACGCTGTATAACAGAGCTAAGAAATCATATTCTGCGGACAAGTAAGAGGAAGGACTAAATTTTATTGATAAGTGTCCCCGAGAGAATGGATATCCTAAAAGATTTATTATGAAGTATAGTGAAGGACAAATCGAGCGAAGTAAACACTTAAATGGGGGAAAAGAAGAAGGCTGTTATCCACTATAGATTCAAGGGAGATGGAATATGCAAGCGAATATACACAAGAATCAAATGAGCACTGAGGAGGAGCTTTCCTACAGCTAAACTTGTATCAGTATACAATACCACATGGTCTCTGAGCCAGTCAAAACTAGATAATTACTCTGCTCATGTCACCTTTAACTGTATTTATGAATTCACATGCAATTGCGACAGCAAATACATTGAATAGACTGAGAGGAGAGTATCCATTCGGTTCACTGAGCATATCCCCAAGCAAGTAGAATTCTAACCAGTAGAGTTGACACAAGATATCAGATTGAAACATCGAATGCTTTAAGGTAATAAGCGTACAAAAAATATCTGAATTACTGCGCTTCATGGAAAGGATCTCTGTAAAACGTTTTCAACCTGACCTTTGTATACATTAGGAGAGTGTGGTTAATCTTTCACTCCCTTGGTGAATATCATATGATCCTATTTCATTTTAATTTTAGTTACATAACTGTTTATTTGCTTTTTATTATTTTTCCTTTCTTACATTTCTTACCTCTCTCTCTGTCTCTTTGTACAAATAATTCGTCTACATGTTATATGGATCATCAATGAATGATTTTGTTGTACAACATAAGATTATCGATTTCCGAATTTTAGGTTATCTTACGCGCTAATATAACCATTGTACTATTAGACTGTGTGCAACGGCTGAAGAGTATTCGTGAAATGAAATGATGATATCATCATTTTATTCAGCAAATCTCGTCCTTCTTGTTTTCTCCAAATTTATTCTTTCATACCTGTTTGTCCTTATATACTCTTTTGGTATAGTTCTTCTGCTTAGTTTTAATGTCTTCCTGTTTGCTGGTTTCCTCACTCTATGGAGCGATCGTCTCAATCTATACGAGGTTGTTAATGATTTTGTCTGTTTATCTACTTGTTTCTGTGCTAATTAACGATTATAGAGCTGTAGCCCATTGGTTTAGCAAGTTGATGGACTACGAGTTCGATCCCTGCTCTAGCAGGATTTTGACATGTACTGTGCATGCTGAGACACCGCCTATGTAGGCGTATTATGTTCCTGGGATTTGGATTACGTTGGAAGAGGGTTTAGGATGATCTGACCAAGATGTGGCACCAGTCGATGAAGTTTCTCACTGTTGGTCTGATTCGTGTTAGGAGATGCAGATTCTCTGGCTGGGGTCCCCGAGACGATAGGAATCAGTGGTTAAGGGCTTGTGATGAAATGGCTGAAAATCGGTCACAATGTTGTAGATATATTCACTCCTCGACATCTGAAGCTTGAATATTCACACTAACTGTTATCCGCAGATTGTTTATTTTCTCACACAACTTTATCTACTTATTCTATCCACAAGTGGGAACGTCACTGTTGCAAATTATAGATATTACTTATGCGGAGACATTGAATTCGAGATCATTCTACAAGCATACTCTTGAAAACAAAGTCATTTTAAGGAAGTTAACCAAGATAGTCTGACTAAAGTAGATTCAAGCGGATAAGTCTTCAGGGATTTATGAATTCTAAGGAGTTCTACTTCATAATTTACCTTTTGCGATTACTTTATCATTGTTATGTATAACATGAATCTTCGGAAATTGGGATATTAATATCAGATTGCCTGAAATTGAAGTGTTTTTGAGAAAATAATCAGAATTGACAAAGAAACTAAGTTGACATAACAATTAAACAACCATATTCAATGGCTGAATCCTTATCAATATCACCAGGGCTTCAAGATCAAAATTCCTTTGTTATAAACTAATTCACTCAACTTTTCCATGATTACTAATTAGGTATACCTGTCCAGGATCAACACTTGTTGTACGCTGGTGTTGAATTAACAGACAATACAATATTATCCACTGTGAATATCGGACATGGAGCTTTATTACGTCTTGTCTTGGGATTAAGATCTGGTCCCCTAGGTAGATATCATTTCTGCAAGAGCTCCACGGTAATCAACCAAAATGATGAATCCTTACAGCAAACGTCTACTACTGATGAAGCCCAATCACTTTCTCCAGTATCATCAACATCTTGCTCATCATCATCATCATCATCGCCTACGTCTACGTCAACTATTGGCTTCCCATTGATATGTGTTACACCTGCAGTCAATGTGACCAATTGTAGATCAAGTAATACATTAGAAAAAACTGGAACTGATGCCTTTCTCACCTCTTCATCTGAATCCTACAATAACATCAGTGACGATAATACGAATGACAGTCATCAAACATCTGATGATGAGATTAATCAGATTGCTGAATTTCTTGGTTATGCAATCGATGAAAGTGAACACCTACTACATCCAGCATATGACTGTACAGCTGTGTCAAGTGAGAACCAAACATACGGTGTATATCATGACTACAATGAAGAAGCTCATTATTATCATCATGACCATCATCTGTATATTCCACAACACTTCAGATGGTTGATAACACCAAGTTATGTAAGTTTATAATATCTTGAAGCTTGAAATAGCATATTATTTCTATTATTGGTTTTAAGACTGGTTCGAACACTTTGGATTGCCACTTCGGTTTCATCAGTCTTTCCTGTTTCCAGGTCAGCCCATCGTCGCCTGCCAATGAGGCCAGCTTCCAAATTAGGCTCATATGCATGAAAACGATGTACACAGTCCACTATTATGACGATCCATCTTCCAGGCAGGAGGGATGATAAGAGATTCATCACTTAGAGCGTTCGATAGCGACTGCTGGTGCAGTTACCAGGGTGGACCTTAGTATTGACCTAAAACCTATATGACATATAGGCAAGCACGCCGGCCATCTCGGTCCTTCATTATACCTCACGTACTCTGCGAATTCTCCCGTCACCCAGCAAACAGGTTAGGTACCCTGAAGTATTTATTAACATCTGATTTTGCTCCACCATTACCCACACTAAATGGATTTCTTCACTTCGAAACCCTAGCTCTAGAAGGAAAGACGGTGAGTCGGTCCACAGGTTGATATCTCCTTACCATCTGGAACCACATGAAGATCCACCATCGTGCAACTAAATTCTCCTGTCCCGTAAACACCTGATTCGGCCTAAGTGTGCACCGTCGATCAGGCATTTGAGGGGGACTCGAAATATCGTAACCACCAGCAAGCCGGCCATCCGATCAAGGACGACTAAATGTACACCATCGGCTAGGTATTTGGCCAACAACTCAAAATACCTATGTCACTCATTAAATGACGAGGCACTTGGCTACCTTAGAAGGCTCGTAGTTACTCTTGTCAATTTACATCACCATATCAGTACTCGTACAAAGTCTTTGGTACATCCTAAGTCTTGATGTGATTTTGATAGGCTCTAGTAATAGAATCCATGACACACGTGATGTACGATTTAAAACTCGTTACCTTGTGGGTTATTCAACAGCTTGGTGGATGAGTTCTAGTTTCACCTCGGATCTCTATATTTATTAGACAGCATGAATATTCAGATATCAAGCCAAAAGGGGAATGGAACTCATCCTAGATTCTACTGGTATTCACTACCGAAATAACAACCTTATGCAGGGTTTTTCAAAGGGTAGTTACTTTTGATCATTCTTGTATGTGAATGCATAATGTTCAATTCATTTAATGAAACTCACTAACCGTGTCACTAAAGTTTGACGTTTGATTCAATATTCTTATTTCTAACTGTTCTATGATATTTTAGTATACAATTTCCTTGTCCTTCGTATTTCTATTCGGTAGTGTGTCTTCTTAGCTTCATAATCTGAGCCGGTTGATGTTCATTACTTTTTGTATTTCTCAATGTTACCGCATATACTACTAGTGCACATTCTAATAAAGTAGCTTTCACTACAATGCTACTTGTAAATAACAGCAAAGTAAAATAAACAGTATGCAGTGTAAAAGTAATAATTAAGTCAAGGAATAAGTTTTTAGTGATTACTTAGACACAATAGTCGGTTCTGATTTATTCCTATTTAACTTTTTAGAACTTTGCACAACGTTTGAATATGCTGGAAACTGATTCCTACGACTCATCTGAAAATATTGATTCGAAGAATTCTTCCAAATGCTTTCATGGACTAACGACTGTTGAAGCACCCTCAGAACGTTGTCAGTCAACTGGTTCTCTGTTTACTTCTGGTACTTCCACTATGTCTGCTGCTTCTGGTACCATTCATTTGAACTCTCCTCTTTGTCAATTTAAATTCAATCCACAATCTGGTCTAAGAGTACCGTACTCGTCTTCGCCTAATGTAAATTGCACTGATATATCATCAAATGTTATTATTGAAAATGACAGAAATATTCATATTTCTTCTGAGGTAAAAAACAATCGATTATCTCATGTATGCAGTGGTGATGTGGAATCAAATATCCACCGTTCCAGTCCAAATATTCCATTGCCCAACACAGAGACTCTTATTTCATCCTCTCTTGACAGAAGTAATCCCACTGCTGCTACTACCATTTCTACTACATCCAATTCACTTATCAATGATTTGACTAGGTTACACAATCATTCATTGACATTTTTATCCTCTCATCATTCATCCTACCTAAGTATGCAAATGAAATATTCTGGTGTTGGTGGTTGGGTCAGTTCACCTTCACTGACCAATGATTCTTCCGTAAAACTACGAATAATCACATTGTCATCATCAAGTGGTGGTAGTAATGATGCTAATAATAGTAATAATACAAATGCTGGAAAGTTATGCAATTCGGTTTTGTGTAATACTGTTGTGACAGAAGATTTACATCATACTAATCGGTAAGTGCAATTATCTGCTTTTCGTTATTGCAAGCATATATGGCCTTTTAGCATATATTTGAAATGATATTAACTAAGGTGTCTATTGACAGATATGCAAAGCGTTATTGGTGTTCACCAACTTACTGTACACACGGGATATTCATTTACTAGTATATCCAGTGTAGTAGTGTACTATGCGATATGGCCGTTAAAAGTAGAAGACATCAAGCAGTTACAGATTTTTCGATCATCGGTGTCTTCATAAAATTGTTCGCATGTAGTGGAATCACTGTATGAGCAATGTTGAGGTCAGGTGAAGGGTACTAGGCAACACAGGTAAGTCGATTGATGAGGTTGTGAGCCTTCATCATCTGGGATGGCTAGGATATGTGTTGCGCATGCTCAGTTACTGCCTACGCCGATGTACCGTGCTAAGTGAAGCTGGATTAGGCTGGAAGAGAGTTCAGAGTAATCAGACCAAGACGTGGTGCTAGTCGATGAAGTCCCTGACTGTTGGTTTGACCGGTGTAAAGAAGTGAGTGTCCGCTACCTCACTAGGTTCCTCGAGACGAAAGGAACCAATGGTTGAAGATTCTTGGTGATGTAGCTGAAAATCGATCACAATGGCACAGATGTATTCACACCTTGACATCTAAAGCTGAAATATTTGCACTAAACTTTATCGTCAAATTGTTTATTCTTTCACACAGCTTTCTCGACTTCGATACCACACTTATTCTATCCACTTATCTTTGAATACTTCTGTGAAGTGTGGCAACTTGAACCGATTTAGCTGTGTGCGAGGTTCTATGTTGATTCTGTTTGTCTCTGTCCTTTAGGATGCATCTGCGAGACATTAAACATTTGAAGTATTGATATCTTTGAAGCGTCGTTTATATGCTATAGGGGCCATTGAGTGTACAGTGTACTGAAGGTAAATAAGCTTCATGTTCAGTAACTGAAGTAAACTAACTTGTGAATGTGCACTAGTTGAATTGTTGAAACTACGACTGATTGACTTAGGCTCTGGACTTTGAAGCAGAAGATCACGAATTTGAATTCCACCCCATCGACTGATATGTAGGCTGTTACATGCATCGATAGTGTCTCATTTCCTAGTACAAATACATATACATCGTTATCGTTTTATGTTCATTACTTGCGTTGACCCGTTCCGGCCATGTTTTGTATGATCTTCAAGATGTAAGGTGAACTTAGTATGCACTAAAGCGTGATGAGAGTCCAGATGGGTCGTGCAGAGTGAATGACGGTTCTGAATAGACCCACGCTATCGGTAGCTGATTGTTGCAATATGATATATTTGAGTGAGAGAATGCGAGTATCAGATAGCGTAGCGGTGATGGTTGTACCAGAAGTTAGTGCTGGCTGAAAATAGGTTGTGACCTGTGGAAAGCTGCAAAAAAGATCTCCACCACCCGAATTGTGACTGACTTATCCCTATTGGCTACCTAAACGACTCTTCTCTAACCATAGACATCCTATTTGCTCATTTAAGTCTTAAGGTAGCTCTCCGACATCTACTGAGTGCTCTTGGTAGAGGTTATTCAATCAGAAGTCATCATTAACTACCTCTAGACTGCAGTCAATCAAGGCAATGATTTCTCATTGTAACCGAGCTTCGTAGCCTAACATGGCGCAGATGATTGTTTATCTGAATGCAGTTGGCTAGTGAAGTTTCCATTTAAGCTTCTAGGACAACACCAAAAAGTCCAGCTGCTGATGCCACAGGTTCACTGGATGTAAACACGCGGTAAATGCACTTCCTCAGCTGACAGATGGAGAAGTTATTCAAAGTATATCACTGGGATTTTTTTGTATGCGATCTATGAAGTTACAGCCTACACCAAATAACGAGGCTTTTCATTGTTGTAGCTAGGTATGCGAGAGTTTGTTTGTCAGTTGTTATAAAGCTTTGATTGACAAGATTAAAAATCTACAAATGCCTTCATACTTTAACCGACTGCAAGAGGCGAATGTCTACCTTCTGAAGTTCAAGCTTTTCACTTTTTTAAAGGTTATTCTGCTTTTTGTAACCACTCCCACTGAATAGTTCCAGGTGGGATCGATTTTACTAACTCTAAGTCGTTCACCGCCATTGTGCTTTATACTCTCAACAAAATTGTAACTCTCAACTTGACACTCTACGACTTATAGTATTGTGTAATTTCTTCACGAAGAAATGATTCGACTCAGAGTTCATCGATGTGATCAACACAGCTGAATTGATGGTTTCAACTTATTAGATAAACTAAATTGAACGATAAAACTGTTGTTCAATATCGTATAAGGATCAGAACTTTAAAAGTTCATACATTGTCAACCTGGCAACTTAATCGCCAAGTGCTTGACCTCATGCTTTGCATATACATAATCGCAAAATAGGAAGATTATATCTAAATCTTTGATTTTAGATCGGTATTTATCACGGAGTGACACCAGTTGGAGAACCATTGGAAGACTGGGAGCACCGGACAGCTGTTTCGTCTTATTATGAGACCCCTCATCAGTGCACACCCACGACCCCACCAAATATCGAACCCCATGACCTTCAGGTTCTGCGACCAGGATGTGAACTTTGACCCATTGGTCCACATTTCCTACTTCTGTCAGTGGACGATTGGATACCGACCCACTAGCTGAATGGTAACGTGATGGCCATGGAACCTGAAGGTCCTGGATTCGATCCCTGGTGGGGTAGTGTCATGGGTGTGCATTGCTGAAGAGTCCCATCCTAGGACGAAACAGCTATCCAGTGCTCCTAAGTTTCCAATGATCCTCCAACTGATGACAATCTGTGATGAATACCAGCCAGAAATCAATAAATGGATCCATAGAAGCCTGCGAATTCAATAAGTAATTCTTTATCATGTCATTTGTACGTGGTCTATACATATTTGTTGTTGTAGTCTTCCCTTCATTGTGATGAATTGTAGTTGTTCATTTTTATCTGTGTTTAATTTAGTCAATATTACTCACCATTTTCATTGGTTTACATTCTTTGTAAATAGCAATGGTTGTGGATTACCACCACCATCATCACTTCGACTGCATAATAATCAAGTTTGCCGCGTACAACTTCATTCCAACCATTGTCACCAAGAGCATATCATTACTGCCGATAGTTTATTGGATAACGATAATGATCATAATAATAGTCAACAAATCGAGCATATTGAACTTACTGCAAACTGTAATGATGATCTACAGAGATCTCTTTCATCTATATCAAATACTACTGAGACACTTTCTCCTCTATCTCACTCTTCCTCCTCATCCTCCTCCTCCTCATATTGTTCAACTGCACATTCTAACAAGTCTAGATGTTATGAATGCAATAAGCGAACAAGATTAGCATGCGGTTTTACTTGTCGGTAAGTTGAATGATGAAAGAATGTTGTACTATTGATGATGCTTGAAGTTTTTCTTGAAATCGGACTTGAATAGTACGTCTGCATCCGAACTATTAATTTCAAGATATCACCTATCCTCTATTCTGTAAGAACTGTAAACACATATAACAATTTTAGGTTGGAATTCATCATGAAATGATATGAGTTGAAGGAACATTTGAAACCTTGGAGCATCGAAGAGTTGTTTCGTCACACTAGTATAGGGCTCCTCAGCAGTACGCACCCATCACCTCACTGGGGGTCGAACCTAGGACCTTCAGACTGCGTGACTAGCACCTTACTATTGACCCACTGGGTCAGAATCTAATGGCCTGTATTTCCTACTTCTGTCAGCGCTCTATCTAGCGCTCATTGGTGGCTGGCTTCGAGAGGTGATTCCCGAAGTTCCAATGAGAAGGCGTGGCCAGTAGAGTCAACCGAGTCGAACATGAGGACGGTTACTCAACGACGACATTTGATTTAGGTCGTGCTATATAGTGGACTGACAGAAGATGGATATATGGACCATTGAGTTCTGACCTAGTGGCTCAATAGTAGGGTGCTGACCATGGAACCTGCAGGTCCTGGGTTCGACCCCCGGTGAGGTGATGGGTGCGCACTGCTGAGGAGTCCTATGCCAGTGCGACGGAACAGCGGTGCAGTGCTCTCAGATTTCCAATGTTCCTCCGACTGATGTCAGTGCATGACGAATTCCAACCTACACAAACCTTCAGATAGAATTATTCTATGAATTTCTTGTTCAAGAAAGAGGCTATCGACTCATCCTATTGCTGCATTAACTTCATCTGTTGGAATTAGCGCAAGTAGAAGTAAATAATGAGGAATGATTTGTGTATCTGCCTTCTGTTTGTGAAAGCTTTGTAAGTTCGTTGATTAATCTTCAAGTAGGAAGTCTGTATGTGTAATTAATAAGTAATTCTGTTTCACTGTGTAGCTCTGGAGTCACCGAGTGAATAATCATCAACATACAAACGATGCTGACGCAATGAGACACTCGGACTGGATACGAATAGCAACTGTTGACCCTTAGAACCTTATACTTCATCGGGCGGCGAAAATCAGAAGGTAAAGACTGACCTGTGACTGTTAGGTAGGCCCTTTATGTATAGTACTATACATAATCAGAAACACAGGCAATATCGAGGCATCCTCACAAGAGCCTATATGCCAACACAGTCTGATCAATTCGGTCCAATCAACAACGGTGTAATACAAGCAATAGACCCTTTATTCTACAAAAATGCATCGTTTATATACAACAATTCCCATGATCGTATAAAACCGATAGTTCAAACGTGAAATGGTGTGTTTTGATTGGCCAACAAAATTGTCCAATAAAGTTTTTCCTGATCACACGGTAACATGAAGCAAAAATGCAAAATGCGAATTTTTACGCTAGCGGTTGGTGACTCAAAATGTTGATTTTCATTTAGACCGATATGTATCAGGCGCACTTAACAAATGAATAGACTAGAAATGGAATAACATTCTACCACATTGCTCAATCCTTACTCCTATATTAATGTCCACCTACGAATATTTGATTGACTTTCGAACCAGGCGTTTTTGCTACATTGGAAGTTGGAGAGCTGTAATAGTTGTCACTATGAAAAACACGATTCAGATTGGGATGCTAATATCTGGATTGATAGATAGGTAACTGGTGTTATACGAAATCAGTATGGATGTGTGTTTCTGTTTAACTCATATAACAATTAGGAGGTTAGATGAGGTTAGAAGAGAGTTCAGGGTGACCAGACGAAGATATGACACCAATCCATGAAGTCCGTCACCTTGTAGAGAGGTGTAGGCTGCCTAGTTGAGGTCCCGGAGACGTCAGGTTCCATTGTTTCAGGACGTTTGATGAAATGGGTGAAAGTCGGTGATATTAGTACAGATGCATTCACTATTGTTTGCCGTCTTTTACAGGGTGGATTGTTTTAACTAACGTCAATTTTTAAACTCCCTCTCCTTCTATTCACCATCGTCTACTTTGATATCATTCTTTTACTCTATCGACGTGTTCTCTGTACACTATTGATATTGTCCGTCTGTTGGTCAATCATCAATGTTCCCTGGCTAATATATCAAATGAATAGTTCACTTGTTTATAAGCATCAAGTTCATGTAGTAGATGGTTTTCAACTACTAATATCATCTACATTTCTGATATTTATAATCTTCAAAACATTATTCGTATCAAGGTATATTTGCATATTGATGGTCTAGTAGAACTTTAAATGCAGTGGGAAAGCATCAGTGTGCTGATAGCACAAATGATCAAGGTGTTTGATGAACTAACTACTCTTTTATCCAAACTCACCCATTACCCGGCTGTAAACGAGTTGATTTTCCACTATGACCTACTTACTTGGAGAAAACCACTTTCACGATTTACATTGTCTGATTATTATTTATCCCTTGGATTCCTAGTGGAACATAGGGCTTCAGTAGCACGTCACCATTTCACTCTCTTTCCAGTATTTTCAACCTGCCTATACCACTGCCCGCAAGCTTTCATTTCTTCCTCCATGTCAGCCTTGCCTCAGACGCCCAACTCGTAGTGTCCCGCCCGGGCTCCACTCAATGGTCTAACCTGACGCCTGATGTCCCCAATCGGTCTTCTCAGTGTGTATAGCCAATCCATCTCCACTTCCTTCCACTGCATATTTGTTCAGCGATAGGTTGTTGGTTGGTTTGTTACCAGAGTTTCGTGTTACTTATTCTTTCTGACCATCTGATCTTCAGTGTCAGTATCGAGTGAGCGTAGGCGGCAGCTATTGATGATGTATGATGTCTGTGGTTTGTTGGAAATGCTTTTCGTGACGCGTCGCCAAGTCTCTCAACCATCACATAGAAGCACTGACTTACTTGACTGAATTAGTATTGAAATTCCGGATGTTGTTCACGCTTTATGCTGAGTAGAGTAGATCTCCACACTGGTTTCAGATTATTGAAGGCCTGTCTTTCTGTCTTTCCGATCATATCTTTGACATCGTCATCTGTGCCAGTGCCACCTGTAGTTGAGACGATGCTGCCTTGCCTAGGTAGGTGAACGAGACTACTTCCTTTAGGTTTCTCTCGTTGATTGTGATCGATGCTTGCTAATATTGCTGTTGGTTAGGTGTCTTCATCACCTATGTCTTCTCTGCGTTCACTTGAAGGAAGTCTCGTCTTCGCTGCCCTGTCTGCCCTTCCCTTCCCTGCCTCTTCTGTCAACTTGTCGCTTTTTGTCTGTAGATCTTCGAGATTGTGCTACAAGACATTAGACATAAATCATCATCAACGTTGGTGAAATCCCAATCTTCTTCTGAGGTCTTTTCATCGCATCGGTCCAGCAAGCGTATGTTCATTTCACTCCTCACGGTCTGCTGCGTGATCCAGTTCAGTCGACCACAATCATGAATATCATGGGTGGTAGTAGGCGTCAACCACCTTGTCTTACTCCTATCTTCACTTCAAAGGCATCAATGAGCTGATCTTTCCATTGTGAATCACTCAGCATGTGGCGTCTTCACATAACTCTTGAATGAGGTTGATAAAGATTTGTGGCACTAAAACAGTAGTGTTGAAGGAGGTGCCTGCCAAATTACTTCTTGGTCGACGCTGTTGAAGGCTTTTTCAAAATCGATGAGATAGAGTTGAGTTGACTACCATTCTGTGCTCTGTTCTATGATGAGGCGTAGCCACGATTTACATGGTGGTGCTGAAATTCAATATCAGCAAGTTACCAATTGATTGAATGATTTAGTACCAATAAGTATACAGGGTGGAATGTTCAAATCACAGCGACTAAACTAACAGACAGACAGAATATTGTAGAAAAGTACATCCGTATGATGCTGGACCTACTGGCTTTAATTATTCGATTTTGAACTAGTAAATTGCGCATTCCAACCCTGCTTTAACTATCATCAGTGATTCACACAATAGTTGTATCGTATACGCTGACGTGTGCGTGGTTTTCCAAGTGGAGTTCGTCGCCACGTTGGTTGTAATACAGACTGTTAAATATTTTTAAATCACAACCACTAAATATTCATCTGGTTGTTGTTGGTGGCGAGGATGGTGGTGGTTTCTTTGACAACTGAGAGTAAAAGAATAGGGAATGCAGGTCGCAAGCAATAGTCTATACATTGCTCCTTTTCACACATCCCATGTTCTATCCGGATGTTATTTGGTGGGATGCAATCTGCAGAAAGCCCTGTTTGACCTAGGTTTCGTGATTGTTGGCACTTTTCAGCAAGGCGTATCTTCAACCTCTACGGAACTGATGTCCCCTATGAGATTCAAACTAGTGTCACTCAGTGTTGCTGGCAACTATGTTACTCCTGAGCTATTCTTGCCGTGACTGTAGAACTGGATTACACACAATGACTATTTTCTGGAGAGAAACCAATCTTATGCTGTCTAGTTCTGAGTGCATACAAAATCCTTTCGATCATTTTGCAATGCAGCCACCAAACTAGGAGGCTCACAATCGTGATACACTTTGATAAATGTTAGTTGATTCGGAACTGCAGATACGCCTTGCTGACAAGTGCTAACAAGCACAAAATCTGCGTCTAGGGCTTCCAGCCGATTGTCTCCAACCAATTTAACATCCATAAAAGTGCATCACAATGCTGAGCTGCCTAGTCTGGTGGCCACATTACAAAACGATCGATAGAATCCGGTCTGGACTCAGGAGTAGAAAATATGAGATTGGTTGCTGTCCAGAGGATTAGTCAATGTGTGTTCTATCTACCCAGTTGATATATGAGTTGAACCAATGTATACATATATCCATACTAATTTCTCACAAAACCAGTTATCTACCTCTCTATCCAAATGGTGTGTTTTTATAGTGATGACTATCACAGATAGGTTAGTCTAACTTAAAAAGACTTGATTCGCTCTCGAACTACCAATGTCACAAGAATACCTGATTGAAGAGTTAATCAATAGTTGTGTCTTTCACACTAAAATGTGCGTGGTCCTGCAATTGTATTAGTTCAGTTCATCAGACGATGGTATCGACACACAGAGATAATCGATACAAATAGAAAGATACTTAGATGAAGAAGGTAATAGATCTTTTCTTTCAGCATATCGAAGATCTTACTTGTAGGAACGCAGTATTACTTGCGGTCGCCAAGAGTACTTTAACCAATAGTCAGCAACTTTTTGGATTAGTGCCGTGTTTTCGATAGAATACCGTCAATGTCTTCCAGTTTAATCCTATTAAAGTCACTTCCCTGGTTTATAGCAGACATCAACTGAGTATACATGATGTTCTAAACACTGTCAAAGTAAGTTTGCCAGAGTTACCTAACATAATAATTATCCAATTGGTCTTCAGTTTTTGAGGGTTAGTCGACTTGACACTTGCTGGATTAACCTCACTATGGTGCTAGCTAAAATTTACCAATGAAATTTATACTCACTCACAGACTCGAATGTGAATAATTCAGTATTGAAGTCAGTTAGAAACTTTACTGCAAAGCAAAGCTCGCTGGCTCGAATCCTGCTCAGATCTGGAGGAAGAAGGATGATTTTCACCCCGAAGACCCTCTGGACGTCGTGAGGAGTGCTCAACTGACCTTAAAACTCATAAGTGATATTTTTTCCACTGATCTGTCAAAGAGGGGTGACAATCGTTTTTTAACGACAACAAATCTACTTACCTGTTTCTTTTTTTTCTCTCCAAAGGTGTGAACGATGGTTCTGTGCAAAGCATCATCATCCAGAGGATCACAGGTGTAATTTCAACTTCAAGACTATGGTGAATTCAACGTGATTCACTGTGAAATGTGCTCCTCTTCCAAGCAATTAACACACTTACCTCATTCTCCTCTTGTTCATTATCTTACTTTATTGTTTGTTATCTGGAAAAAAAAAGAATCCGAAAGAGAACGAGAAAGAAAAGGTATTCTACGTTATGTACACTGCTGAAATTGTTGCTGATGCTGCTGCCCTAGAGGATGCATAAAGGTCAAATTCACATCATCTTTGCATGTTTGTGTTGTGTACTTGTGCTTAAACTGAATTTGATATCATTTTTCTAAAAGTTTTTCTTTTATAAACTAAAATAAAGCTGATAATCAGGCTTATTATGTGTACAAATTTCGACTTTTATGCGTGTATTTATCAATGGAATCAGCTTTTCATTTGTTTCAATGCTTTCTTTACATTATAGGTGTTTTTTTTCTACAATGCGCTGTTCTCGGCGCGTTGGCGGTGTAGCGTCGTCTTCGGATATATATTTATATGCTTGTGTGTGTGTGTATGCCTTTTACTCTATTCTGCTGTTTGTTGTTGTTTTTTAATCTAGGACAAACTGAAAAGCTTATTTTTCTGTAATTTCATGTATGTTTTTTACTCGCGTGATATAATTATTAGCATAGAGGAGAGAGGTTGGTTTTTGTTCACCTTTATTACTAAATATAGATTTCACCTTGACGTGTCGTACCACTCCACAATTTCTATCTCGTGATTTCCACTCACCCTATCTGCTCATGTTGTCGAGTTCAGTATGCGCTTGTTCAACAACGTACTCACTACCGTTTTTGTCTGCGACTTCCCCTCCCACACACAAGTATAGAGCGCACAGCATCATTGAGCCTGTTGTATCTGCTTCAAATTGTCTGTGTCCGCTTTCGCTCTTCCTTTTATGTCCACCTTTTGCTACCTTTCGGATGTCTACAATACATTGCTATTTGTTTCCTTGTTATTAATATGATCATTATTGTTGTTGATATTTTTTACTTAGCTGGTTGAGCAAGTGATTTCGTTTGTAATTTCCTTCTCATTGTTTTTCTATGTTTTACGTGTTCATGCTTACTGCGGAACCTTTATTCAGAATAATAAAGGAAGTAAACTAGTAATTATAGTAATCACAGTACCGTTTTCTGTCTCCATTACAACGTACTGAAATAACCAATTCGATTTTCTTCATTTCAACTGAACAGGTAGATTTTCACAAAGTTCAGGAATCTAATTGGTCAATTCAGTCGATGTGACCTCAAACAAATGACCTTGGGTTTGAAATCTTGTATCCTATTGGCTGCCGCTTAATTGCTTCACACTCTAAAGTTATTGACTTTTGAAAACAAGAATTCAGTCGTTGTTATTATGATAAAGCAGATAAGATGAAACAACTAGTGAGGGCTTGGAAACCTTATTGTTCTTCATATGAATTTTAAAATTTTTTTCTTAGGAAAATAGCGCAGATCTTCAGGAATATTAGACGGACTCCTCAATTATAAAACAGTGAAGTAGTCTTGAACGAGAATCAATGAACAACTAATATTTTTCGTATTGATGGTGGCCGGTAGCTAGCAGTGAAATCCATGATGCCTTCGTTTTGTCCTGTGTGACTTGTCGACTGGATGTACCTGTCTCTCAGCGAGTGTTGTTCCTACGAAGACTCTGACCCAACACCAGTCACATCAGACACCGGAGTCAGGATAGCCACTTCCTGTGCGATGGGTGTAGCATCGACTTGGATATTATAGCTTGCGGATCTCCGTCGCTACCTATCATTAATATCAAAATAAAAAATACAGACAATATCGAGTCATCCCCGTACAAGAGCTCTTATGCTAACAGTGGCCAATCATTTCGGTCCAATCAACGGTGAGATACTACAGGCAACGTCATATAAACTATACCCGTCGTACAAGAAGTGGCTCTCGTGACTCTATGGCCTGGTGAATAACGTTCTGGCTTTTGAAACCGTCGGTCCCTAGTTAGAGTCTTAGTGGGAACAAAATCACTCACTGGGAGACAGGTACATCCAGCTGACGAGTCCCAAATAGCATGAAAAGCGTTTCTTGGATGCTACTGCTAGCGACCATGCATCATTAATAAATACTGATGGGTTTCTGTCGATTGTTTTGCAATGTCTCCACTAGGCTAGGTGACTCAGCATCGCGTTACACTTTCATAGACGTCAGTCGAATGGAGGTAGTTGGCAGGAAGCCTTGCTTAACCTAGGTTTCGTGCTTACTGGCACTCATCAACAAGGCGTATCTGCAAGCTTGACAGAAATGATCCCCCGCCTGGGACTCGAACCCGCGTCGCCCAGTGCTAGTCAGCGACGTTACTGCTGAGCAGTTCGAGCCGTGACTGACCTTCTGTAGGACTTGGTTGCATGCACTGATAGGTCATTGAAGGGTGACACCGGTTCGAACCTCAGGCGGGACATTATTTCCGTCAAGGTTACAGATATGCCTTACTGACGAGTACCAGTAAGCACGAAACCTAGGTTAGACAGGGCTTCCTGCTGACTGGCTTCACACAACTAACAACCTTTTATGTTTATATGAAGACCGACTTGGATAACAAATAGGATTCAATTACGTCTCGGTTGCAAGTAGAAGCAGTTTCCACATTGTTTTTGATAACATAAAGATAACTGCAGTTCATAGAGATTCCAACTTCTCTATGGAAGAGATTTTTTGTCGCTGAAACTTTTAGATGAAAAGAAAAGAAATATTCGAATATAATTCATTAAGAATATTTGCTAGTGGATCGCGTATTCCGTCGGTGTATATGCTGCATAGAATTCCATCCTGTCCTGAGCTGTATGGTACTTAAAAGGATCTTTCTTGCTGAATTCAGGAAAATCGTTTTCTTTTTGAACTGAAAAGATGTTGCAAAATAACTGATTCAAAAGACAGGTGTCATGACTAACGTATTGACTACTCATTCAATCTCGAAGTTGGTGGGGATTTACTGATTGATTTCAAGTTGATATTCACCATAGACTGGCATCATTTAGAGAACTTCTGGAAACCTGGTAGCACTGAGCAGCTGTTTCATCCTGTTGAAGGACTCCTCAGAAGTGTCCACCTATGACCCTGCCAAGGAACGAACCGAAAACCTTTAGATTCCGCGATGGGCATTTCAACACTGGGTCAGCAGAATCTTATGGGTTTTTTTTAGTACTACTGCATATTGAATTTTCCACATGACAAAAGCTTTTAGTGAAACGATGCGTTCAGATGTTTAATCTCCCACCTGACAATTACTTCACTCATCAAAGTTGGGATTTATACTACACCTTACATAACTTTTCTATCTTGAAGTGGAAAATAGATTTTCAGTAGGGTGAAAAATATCAAAAGGAAAAATAATCGACAAACCTATTCTGCTCTATAAATTGTTGAGGAGTCCTGCCTCGAACAAGTGAAATGATTGTCCACTGTTTATATCACACTGACCTGACTGGCTGGTTAAACCTAAGTGACAGACAGCCTGCTTTGAGCTATCGAATACACCGAAGTACATTACATTACTATTCCTTGAATAATCATGTCGAATTGCAGATTTCTGTACTGGCTGGATAAACTACCATCATTGAGTGGAACCCAGATGGGAAACAGCGATTTGGGCATCCGAAGGTGACATAGAGGAGATGATGTGAGGAAGAAATGAGAGCTTCTGGGCAGTCGTGGAGCCAATTTGAAAAGATTGCAGGGAGCAGAGTGGAATGGACACCTGCTACTGAATCCCTATATTGTACTAGGAACTCAATGGACAAATAATAATAGTCGAATTTTCGCTCGATTTTCTTTCCATTCAGCAGTCCAAACCGGGCACTCATGTAATACCTACCAGGTGACTGTTTCACAGTGTAACTTTCATTATTTTTATTATTAACATTATTTAAATACAATGATTATTTCGTTCAAAGAAACTGTACAGGGAATAAATTTAGTGAAATACTACATGCCGAGAATTCCATACTGTACGACAATTCTTGCTTATTACTATAGATCAGCCTGGATTGTTTCTCACCATTCAAGTTTTTGAGTAGTATATTTCAATAATTTGTTGTCTATTATCATGTCTTGGTAATTTCTTAACTTTTAGATACAGTTTGCATAGTTTCAGCTCTCTCTCTCTCTCCTCCATTGTGATAGAAGTAGTAGAATTCTTAACCTCTACTGTGTTACACACAAAGAAGCCATATTGGGAGTGCTAAGAAGTATTCTCATTAGAATTGGCATTACAGTCCCATCTAAGCTGAAAAACGCACTTAGAAACCAGCTTAAAAGATTCTATTGATCCAGTTAGGCAAAAATAATTTAGTTCATCAAATCCCTTGCAATCATTGAAATACAAAATACGTAGGTTAAAGTGTTTGACCACAGTCGATTAAGTTACATAGGCACAAAACATAACTAAATCAAAATTGGTAAATCCTAATAAAATAGACAATCTGAAGGAGAACTGGGCTGTAGATATGCATGTGGCTGCACATAGTTAGTTACACAATAGGATGCTACAGAGGGATAGTATTCACAACAGACGTAGTGGGGTGAAGAAAGAGATTGGAAACTTAATCTCTGTTATCTAATCAATAGTAAATAAATGGAAACTAGGGAGTTTAAAAGTTTCTATCATGTAAATTCGAATGAAGTAAGTGGATTAACAAAGTTTAAATATTTCAAGTTGTTATTCATCGTAGACTGACATCAGTTGGAGGAACAAAGGAAACCTAGGAGCACTGGACAGCTATTTCGTCCCACTTGTATGGAACTTCTCAGTAGTGCGCACCCACGACCCTCCCAGGGGTCGAACCCAGGACCTTCAGGTTCCATGGCTAGCACGTTACCATTGAGCTAGCCACTGGGTCAAAATCTAATGGTCCGTATTTCCAACTTCTGTTAGCTAATGATATAGCGTAACCGCCACCCAATGTCATCGTTGAGTAACTGTCCTCACGACCATCAGGCTTTGCCCTCACCGGTCACCACTTCTTATTGGAACTTCGGGAATACCTATCGAAGCTAGTCACCAATAAGCAAACAAATATGCCAGTCCATGATGAATAAGAACTTTAAATCAATAAGTGAATCCCCGAACACCTCCAAATTGAATTAACATAATGCTCATTGATGACTGACTTCAAAGGGGGGCGGGATTCCCGAAGTTCCAATCAAAAGTCATGATTGGTGTGGCCAACTAAGTCGAACACGAAGATAGTTACTCAATGACAACGTTGGATTGGAGGTCGCGCTATATCGTGAACTGACAGAAGTAGGAAATATAGACCGTTGGATTCCAACTCACTGGTAACGGGCTGGTCGTGGAACATGAACCTCCTATGTTCAATCCCTAGCGGTGTGGTTGCTCACTGCCGAGGAGCTTCATGCTAGAACGAAACAGCTGTTCACTCCTCTCAGGTCTCCAGTGATTCCCCAACTGATGTCAGTCCATGATGATTATCAACCTGAAGTCAATTAACAAATTTCTATAAACCTTTAAATTGAAATATGGTAATTATTTGAAAGACGTGAAATCTAAGAAAGGGATAGAACATTTTCAATGATAAGTCTGTTTGTTAAGTATTCCCTGATCAAGGGAGCGATGACGAATATACCAACTTCTGGATACAAAGGTGAGGGTTATCAGCCCTAATTCGCATATCTTCCACGTGTAATGTATTAGTATGGACGAATACCACTCGAAAGGATAGATGGTCTCATCTAATGAAGGACTAATATGAAGCAGATGAGATGAGACTAAGCGTCTTATGGTCGTCATCTGCTTCTTTCCCAACCATCAAGGTAAATACTCATTAGTCTGCCTAGTTAGTGATAACCCGTAAACACCTTCCTACACAAGAACAGCTAAACTTGTAAACACCCATCTAAGTAACAATTTCTCGACTAGAAAATGACACACAGAATTTCGTAGCGTAGAAAGATCTCCTAATGGCTCTAAACTACCTTTGATATAAGACTACGCTGGCTATATCTCCATTAAGAGGAACCGCTGTTCATGAGACTGAAATTCAAGCACTGTGATAAGATGAAATTCCATTTCAGTTGATTTATGAAATAGATCATATCATGAGACAGTATTATTTCCTGGTTGACACTTTGGATACAATCAAGTATTCACATTAGTTGTGGCTTTGATATGACTATGGACACGTAAATTGTCTCTCAAGGAGGCGACCATCCCAGTGTTAAAGTTTTATCTAAATGTTAATGCATTTTGAGACGGTGGGTAATACCATCGATATCATCATTTAAGACGCCAGTGGCATACATTTTCCTGCCTGTCTGTGTCTTTTGGCATACACTTCGTGTACTACCGCCTGAGTTGCTTCCAACTTTGTCATATTAAAAGAGGCGAAAGACCGGTGTGTTGGGA